TTGCTTCCCCTAACTGAGTGATATCAGGGAAATTAGGTTCAAAAGTACGGCGAGATTCCCTACGAGGCGGCATAATTCTGACAGAAAACATCAAAAGATCATTAGAGCATTAACAATTTATACAAGACTACAACCTAGGCTCTGATACCAAACTGACACACCCCGATCCTAGAATCAAGACGTGCTAGGCGTCACGTGAGCGTGACGTAGCCAAAAGTGCGACACGGAAACAAAAGATATGAGAAATAAGAAGGAATTTAAACCAACCACTAGCAGTAATATCCTACTAGCATAAAAGAGTGAGTTATAAAGTAAAATACACGAATTCAGAGCGCATAAACTAGGTGCAGTCAAGTAGGACTATAATTAAGAGTACAACACCCGCAGGTGAGTCCTACATGCAGAACGTCTGTTAGAACGCCGAAAAGAACCTCGTGAGCCACCAACTGCTAGCTAGAACCTGGAGGAGCGCAAAACAAAGTTGAGTGGGTCAGTAAAACCAAAGATTTCCCAAAAAATTTCATTTAAAACATTTCTAACCCCTCACTGTAAAACCTGTATACTTTCCCAGAAAATAACATAATAGCATAATATTTACTCAAATTGCTCAAGCATCAATTTTATCAAAACCAGTAATTATGCCAGCAATAATGTCAATGATTAAAAATATGGATGCATTAACATGACAGACGATATAATGAAATAACCGGAGACCCTACAGTGGTCCTGTACGGCTAATTCCAGCTCAAAATCCAACCCAGCCGGAGTCACCACGGTGACCTGTACGGCACTACTCTGCACGTCACTTGGAACTACGTAAGGTAATCTGTACGATGAAAAGGTGTAAGAATACGCTCTAGTGCTTCTCTTATCAATCATCGACGCGCATAAACTAAGGTCACCCACTAGTCGGAATCACCTCTAGCGATCTATACGACTAGCATGTCGGAACCCTCACATGGTCTGTACAACATTCACCTACTTGGATCCAAGGCAAGCGTGCGGCGCGGTGAATAATATAAGCACTAACACCAAGGGTGCATGTTATGAGCTTTCAATGCAATTCACATAAAATAAATCGTATGAATAACGTAAAACTCACCTGTGCATCCACAGCATCAATTCATATATGTATGCATCAATTATCAATTCAAATATTTCATAATATGCATGCATGGCATTTTAAAACATATTTTCATATAAATCCAATTTCTGGGAAATTAATAGTATATAGGTATATATGAAAACAAAAACTGCCTACTCACTGGTAAGTCGATGGGTCGTAACCCCCGTGACGTCCCTGGATGCGCTCGTCCTCGGGATAGGTGTCACCTATATGCGAAACAACTATAGAAACGTTAATTAAAACACATAACTAACAATTCGAAATAACTTCTCATACGGTGCTCAATTTGGGTATGTGAATATACCACATCGATCTACTCAACGTCACGGACGTCGACAATTTTTTAGAAAAATTTTTGGGTCTGCCACGCGCCCCCACGCGCCGTGGGTGGCACGGACCTACGCACCCCCACGCGCGCTTCTTCTTCCCTGCGTCGCCGGCACTGGAAACCTGCAACTCGACCTTTCTCCCTCGTTTCTTCATCATTTTTCATGAAATTTTCACCTACGAGTTCTAAGTTAAGAGGGGAAGGGATCTATACCTTCAAAAATCCTTAAAAACCTCTGAAATTTCGTCGGGAAAATCCTCCAATTCGGCCAACTTCGAACCCGACGATCCTGACGTCCCAAACCTTCAAACGAAGCACTCCAAGCTTTCTTGGGACCTCACTAAGCTTACTATGAGCTTAGAATTTCCTGAAATGCAAGATTTTACGTGTGCTTGAACAGTGCACCATTTCGGGGTTAGGCTTTCACGATGATTCAGAGGGTTTCACTTCCTAAAACTAGTACCATTCAACTCAGAACGTCAAAAGGATGAAGAACCATACCTCATTAGCTTCGATCCGTGATGTTTAGAGGGTCCTTAGGTGTGGCCGTACAATTCGAGAGGGAGAGAGTGAGAGAGAGCTGTGAAGGAGGAGAGAGAGAGAGACACGAGGTGAGTGAGGGAGAAGGAAGTATGTGTGTGTGGTCCACCCTAACCTTAACCACACGAATAACAGCCATTAAATTAATAAAATTTTCCAAACTTAGGAAAATAAACATTATGAATATAGTATATCACACACCCATCTTAGTAACATCGAGGGCAGCATCGTCATTTCACGTCCTCGTTATATATTCCCGGAACGGGCTGTGACACAAGGCATGTTGGCCATCACGTAAGAGTGACGTAGCCATGTGCATAGTGCGAAAGCAATAAAGATAAGAAATGTACGAATAGTTAAAAACCAAATTACTAGAGTGCACTACTAAACAGAAAGTGATAGAAGTTAGTTACAACAGTGAACACTCATATTCAGAGCATAAAGTCTAGGTGCAGTCCAGTAGGACAAGTACTAGTGATACAATACTAGAAATGTCCTACTATTATTTAGATAAGTCAGAACTGCCGACATCCTTAAGCCACCAATATCAAGCTTACTTAAAACCTGGAGGCACGCAAAACAGAAAACCTGAGTGGGCAAAAACAAATGTTTTACAAAATCATTTTTTTATCGACATATCTAACCCCTCGCTGTAAAACATGTATAATTTTTCCCAGAATCAGAATATAAGCATATACATAATATATATATATATATATATATATGAAATCATATCAATTCAATTCATGCTTCACATAATCATTTTCAAATATATGCCATGCCAATATATAACAGAGTAAGCAATTCAGGTAAGAATAATTTCATAGAAATATGATATGTTAGCCGGAACCCCTAAGGTGGTTTGTACGGCTGAATTCATAGCTCAAAAGTCAATATAGCCGGAGTCACTACAATGACCTATACAGCAATATACTACACATAAGTCGGAACCACTAAGAAGGGTCTGTACAACAAGATTAGGTGAAATATAATTATGCTCAGCTCTATTCTCTCATAATAGCCGGGCGATAAATCGCTAGTCACCTACGAGTCGGAACCATGAATAAGGTCTGTATGACAAGACTGTGCACTTAAGTTGGATCCAATATGAGCATATAGTGCGGGAGGTGACGTATATACACAAGTCTGTACTTTATATCTCTGGCTAAATCTCAATCACCCTAGGTGCAGTTTTAATGAGCTCAACATTATTCAATCACATATCATATCATCGATGATTCATATGACCAAACATAATTTACCTGAATTTACCTGTACCTCCACAGCACCACACACACACACACACACACACACACACACACACACACACATATATATATATATATATATGCGACTATGAAATGCATATTCATAATATAAAAGCATTTGACATATTATTTCAAAGCATACTTTCCTAAAAATGCATTTATGGGAAATATATCAAGTATATAAGTATATACTGAAAACAAAAGCCCACTCACTGATATGTTGACGGGTCGTAACCCCCGAGTTGCCTGTGGATACGCTCATCCTCGAGATAGGCCTCACCTATATGCGAATTAACTATAAAAACGTTATTTTAAAGCACATAGACAAAACTAGCTAATAACTTCTCATACATTGCTCAATTTGGGTATATGAATATACCACAGTGATCTACACAACCTCACGAACATCGTAATATTTTTAGAAAAAATTTTCTATGGCTCATGCGCCCTCACGCGCATCACCTTCAACCTCCAGACTCTGGAACTGTGTCACTGGCGCCGGATTATGGGGCAAACATGCAACTGCCTATTTCTCGCTCGTTTTTGCACCATTTTTCACGTAATTTATACCAAAATGAAGCTCTTAACTTGTAGAACACAATCATACTAATTTAAAGTGCTAAACGTCACGAAATCTCACCGGAGAATTCCAAGAAAACCGGCCAAACTTCGTCCACACGATTCCAACGTCTAAAATCTTCAAACGAAGCACTCTGAGCTTCCTTGGGACTTCACTAAGCTTCCTACAATCTTCAAATTCCCAAAAACATCCATAATTATGTGTGCATAAACAGTGCACAATCGGGGGTTATGAAAAACTAGGGTTTTCGAAGGTATCCTTATCTGAAATGGGTACCAATAGACTCGTCTGAGCTTCACGAACACAATGGTGCCAACTTTGACCATGATCCGTGAAGTTTTGATGGTTTTGGGGGGTTTGTCCGTATGATTTCGAATGAGAGAGAGAGAGTCTGAGAGATGAGAGAGAGGGCACAGGAATGAGAGAGAGAGAAGGGTATGGATGTGTGTGGTCCAAAAATACACACCAATCAAATTGTTTAATCCTTTTGGTCTAATTAGGTCCAATTAGTTAGGAATATAACTAATTGACCCAATTCCTTAACCCAAACACAAACACACGTCCAACGCTCAAGGGTAAATCCGTATTTTCACAACCACGATAATTAATTCTCGGGACATGGAGCTTTTCGTTAAAGTTTCCTAAAATAAAAGCTGAAAAAGTTGTTATGCACTTCAAAAATACATCGTGCATAGTTCCCAAGTTATGAAAATAAAAAAAGAGCGCATCAGGACTATTTTGAAGTGTTTGAAAAAAAAAATTAGGGTGATAATTTCCAATAAAAAATACAAATGAATTGAGCTGTCAAATAGGTTTGTACCCCTTGGAGATGTGGGTGCCAAATTGATGTTGAGATAAGTTGTTCACTTTTAACAAATGGTTTAATATCACTTAGTATTATGATCTGGTAGTATTTTCCTTTACTTGTAAGTGAGATGTTTTATATTCGATTCTTACTAAAAGTGAATTTGAATCATATTATTGCTAGCACATTGTGAGGTTTAGCATACTCTCCCACCACTTAATATATATATAAATGTCGTTTGTTTGAAAAAAAAAAAGAAAAAAAGACAAACAAAAACAAATGGCCCAATTTAAAGCCCACGGTTGGAGCCCGCGGGAGTGAAGCGAAAGCGCGGGAAACAGAGAGGGGTGCCAAAGCTAAATCACAAACTCCAAGTCGAAGAAGCAAACCAGAGAGGATGAAAAGGGAAGAGGAAACAGAAGAGGAGGCGGAGTCCCCAAAATTCCCAGCATTTCCGTACAAACCCTACGACATACAGATCGATTTCATGAAGGCCCTCTATCACTCTCTCAACAAAGGAGGCCTTTCCATGCTCGAAAGCCCCACCGGCAAGTCATCACTCTTCTGCGGATACTTCTGCTTTCATTTCTCTGATTTTTATGCTTCTCCGTTTCGAAAATTGAACCGTTCGAGTTCGATTGAAAACCCCATTTGTTATATGGCTGCATTTTAGGCATCCGTAACTTAATCAATTTTATTTTTCTGGGTGTTTTTGTGAATTTTCGTTTTGGGTTTTGTTATGGGAATGGATGAATCAAGATTCTTACTTTATCAACTAACAATAATATATTTTCTCAGTCATTCCCCCAAATGCAATTTTAAAGTGGTTTTGTTTTTGGGGGTAGAAAGAACTAGCATCTGGTTGATTTTAGTGTTATTCACATATACTTACTCATATATATATATATATATATATGCGTGTGTATCAATGTATGTATAAGTATATTGATAAACTTCAATTGAAATTTTGTCCTCATTTTGTACTGTTTTGTTAAAATATCCCAACATTTTACAATTTTTATTGGGCTTGATTTGAGATCTTTATGTTTCAATAGGGACTGGGAAAACTCTAAGTATCATTTGTAGTGCTCTGCAATGGGTGGTTGATAGGAGGGAACAACAGAAATCTGAAAATTGTGTTGAATCTGATCTTAGTAGTGCTAAAGATGGTCGAGTTGACTCGGATGATGAGCCTGACTGGATGAGAAATGTTGTTATTAACAAAGACAAGCAGAGTGAGGAGAAGAAGTCTAATAAGAAGGAGAAATTTGGGGTTGGGTTTCGAAGGGCCAATAAGAGAGGGAGCCGTGGAAATTGTAGAGATTTGTTCTCGCAGAGTGTTGAGGAGGAGCCTTCCGCAAAGAAAGAGGAAAAGGATTTGCTAATGAGCAATGATGCTGTGGAGTTAAGTGATGAGGAGTTTTTGGTGGAAGATTATGAAAGCGAAGAGGAAGGGGATCTGGGTGGTGGGAAGTCAAAGAGGAAGCTCTCTGGGGTTTCTTTTAGTTCGTCAAGCGAGGAAGATGAAGAAGATGGGTCTGGTGACGATGAATTTGAGGATGAGAAGGTGCAGGTTTATTTTTGTAGCCGGACACATTCACAGCTTTCACAGTTCATAAAGGAATTAAGGAAGACGATCTTTGCTAATATGATGAAGGTGGTGTCTTTGGGCTCAAGGAAGAATTGCTGCATCAATGAAGGTATGAAACTCATCACTGAATTAGTAGATTATAGTTTGTGTATTGTTACATTCTTCTGGGGAATGGTTTCAGAGGTATTGAAACTTGGAAACTCAACTCGCATCAATGAACGCTGTTTGGAACTTCAAAAGAACAAGAATAAGGATGTTTCCAAAATCAAGGTAACAAATATGTCCATTTAAGATCCTATCAGCCATATCTCATGCACTTGATTGAATTTGTTTTACTGGCCTCTGACATTTTTTCCAACTTAGAGAATTGGATTTCCCTGGACAAATGATAGTGTTTAATTTTCATATCGAATACATTGGTGTTTAATGCATTTTAATCAATTTGTTATGGTTTGCCTATCTGATTTCCTTTATCAGATTTTTTTGTCTGCTACGTGGGAGCAGCCTCTCCATAAATGGGGGTAAGGCTAGCTGACATTCACCTCTCCCAGACCCTGCGTAAAGTGGGAGCTTTGTGCACTGGGTACGACCTTTTACGTGGGAGCTTATAGGTCTAGTGATTAAGAGCATTTATCCCTACACGACCTGGCTACTTGAGGTCCTGCGTTTGAATCCTCCTCCCAACAATATATTTTGGTAAAAACCGTATCTGTTTGTCTGGTGCAGGCCCTTCAGTTTTTGTTTCACCCTTGCATTCTGTGCTTTCTTAATATAGTTTGTATAGGTATTCATGAGGAAAATATACCACACTTTAACTCAAGTAGGTTCCTCGTCGAGTGGTCTTGGACTCTTGGATGCATACTATTATTAGATACCACGATCTTGTTCTAGCTCTTTAATCCGGCATCTGGGCTCCTTGGATGCTCAATACTAAACCCGAACTTTGTCCCAAGGATAAGCTGGCATGTTAGGCCAAGTAGCAAATGGTGCTCATAAATAGCATTGATAAGAAGTGCATATCTATGAGTTGTTGGTCTAGCGGTCAGGTCCTTGGTTTGCTCCCAAATGGTCTGGGGTTCGACTCTCTCCCACGGCACCCACCTAGCAAATGCTAGAGTTTCTTGCTCTCCAAATGTTGTTGGGTCAGGCGGGGCCTAGTGATTGGTCGGATACACTAGTTTAAAAAAAAAAAAAAAAAGAAAGAAAAAGAAGAAGAAGTGCATGGTCGTATATTGTCTTCATAAGAAATGTGTAGTCATATATCATTTGATAAGAAATGCATGATATAATCCTGAGGACCCGTTTCACCCTGCGCTGCTTTATGCCAATGCCAGAACAGACACATGATCTAATTGTGCACCATTTTGTTGAACCAATTGCTTAAGAATATAGCTCTTGGTTCAGAATTAATTGGAAGGAGTTAAGCAATAAGGGTCGGTAGATCTACCCGGTCTACTGTTCTGTTTTATATGACATGAAGGCAGATCATTTCTTCCTGATTCAAAGGTCACTAACCATCATGCACAATACGATCTACAAAATTCTCTTCTCATTCTTCTTAGGGGTTTCTCTTGGCTGATGATAGTATTGATCTGCAGAACTTAGGTGCCGGAGTCAGGATTCGCAGGAACAATGCTTCTTGTGGATGCCCGATGCTTAGAAAACATAAACTACAAAAAGAATTCAGGAGCATGATGTCTCAACATGGTGCCTTGGATATTGAAGATCTTGTTGATCTTGGAAAAAGCATGAGGACTTGTCCATATTATGGCTCCCGAAGCATGGTTCCTGTTGCTGATCTGGTGGTTCTACCGTATCAGTCTCTTCTTTCTAAAGCATCTCGTGAGTCTCTTGGTCTCAAGTTAAAGAATAATATTGTTATTATAGACGAGGCTCACAATCTAGCTGACTCCTTGATCAGCATGTATGACTCAAGAATCACTTTTTCGCAGGTATTTAAATTCTGAAATTTTATTTATCTAGTATGACTGGAAGCTAGTTGATAATCTTTCTATTTCATTTGTGTAACTGGTTTGGGTGCTCATCGACTGCTTGTCTAAATTGATCATATTATCTAATCCAATGATAGAATAGTAGGCAATGTCAATAGTTTTGTAGTCTTCACTTAGAAGTTAGAACCTAAATTTTTCATCACAATGTAAGCTTTCAGTGTTGACATTATATATTTTCAGTGAAAATTGTACTATCTCTTAGCAGTTCTCCTGACCTTTTTTACAGCTGGAGGATGTGCACGGGCACATTGAGAAGTACTTTGCAAGATTTTGCAATGTATTGGGACCTGGTAATCGTAGATATATTCAAACTCTCATGGTGCTCACTCGGGCTTTCCTCCAAGTGTTTCTAAGAGAGGATACGGGCTGCGGAAATTCTTGTCATGATACTGAAAAGGCTTCTGGAGCAAATGGAACGCCTACTTCCTCTATGGCCATTAATGACTTTTTATTTTCCCTCAATATAGACAACATCAACTTGGTCAAATTGCTTCAGTATATAAAGGAAAGCAACATCATGCGCAAGGTGAATCCTTATTCCCATTATATAGTGTTAATTGGAGCTATTTTTCCCCTCTTTCCATGTTCAAGAGGTTACAATGTACTTGGTTTGCCAGGTCTGTGGTTATGGCGATAAAGTAGGCATTCAAAAGAGTTTGGCACTTAATGGCGGTGAAGAGAGAAGCACTTTGTCCAGTTTCCAAGCATTAGCAAATTTTTTGCTATCACTGACAAATAAAGATGGAGATGGGAGGATTATAATCTCAAAGAGTAGTCCAACATGCCCTGGACAGGAAGGAGGATATATAAAATATGTTATGCTGACTGGGGATAATATTTTTTCAGAGGTTCGCCAAAAATTCTTAATTCTGGAGTAACTTGTTTTCATAATATAGTATTCATGTCCAAGTTATGAAACATTAACTCTGAACTTCACAGATTGTGGATCAAGCGCATGCTGTTGTACTGGCTGGGGGAACTCTCCAACCTATAGAAGAAACAAGGGAGAGACTCTTCCCTTGGTTACCACTGAACCAGTTGCAATTCTTTTCATGCAGCCACATTGTTCCCCCCGAGAGCATTCTGCCAGTTGCAGTTTCCCGTGGTCCTTCTGGTCACACTTTTGACTTCAGCTACAGCTCCAGGAGGTCATCAATCATGGCAAGTAGATTTCAATCTTCTTTTAAATAATTATAGAAAGTCAAAATTTCTCTCTTTTTAGTGCATCTGTAATTTATTGATTTTAGCTACTGTGTCAATATTTTTTCTCCGATTTTGCTTTAAAACTTTTAAAACGCAGTTCATTCCCAGGGGAAAAATCACTTCTGCTGTCGATTACAGTAGCACCTTTTTCTGCTTATTACTTCTTTTTTGGGATTCGTACTGGGTATTGGCTGACTATTTATGTTGATGAGCTTGAGTTTACAGATACAGGAGCTAGGGCGTTTGGTTTGCAATTTGGTGACCGCAGTTCCTGAGGGCATCGTTGTCTTCTTCTCTTCATTTGACTATGAAGGACAAGTTTATGATGCCTGGGAAGCTTCAGGTATCCTTGAAAGGATTAAGAAGAAGAAGCGTCTATTTAGAGAACCTAGGAAGAGTACACATGTAGAATCTGTTCTCAAGGAATATAAGGAAACAATTGAAACATTGTCTTCTGGAGAGGGGAAAGAAAATCCTTCTCAGAGTGGTGCAATACTTCTTGCTGTCGTCGGTGGTAAGATATCAGAAGGCATCAACTTAAGCGATGGGATGGGCCGGTGTATAGTCATGGTTGGACTGCCCTATGCTAGCCCTTCCGATGTTGAGTTGATGGAGAGGGTGAAGTACATAGAAGGGTTGGGAAACTCAAATTCCACACAGCTGCCAAATCTTTCACTTAGTAATGAACTTCACGGTGGAGAAGTACGTGCAGGGTTTGACATCCTCAGAAGTTGCAGACGCCGAGGAAAAGATTATTACGAGAATCTTTGCATGAAAGCTGTAAATCAGTCCATCGGTATGTTTTATTACAAGTTCAGTTCTTACATACTTCAGAAACATAGAAATCGGACCACTCATTTGTTAGCAGTGTAAACATAGTGAAGTTTTTCTTTGCCTGTAACAGGTAGAGCAATCCGACACATAAATGACTACGCAGCAATTTTACTAGTTGATACGCGGTACGCAACTGATTCCTCAAAACGGAATTCTTCCCATCCAACTAACAAGCTTCCAAAGTGGATAAAGGATCGCTTCGTTGCTTCAGCTGATTACGGTGAAGTTCATAGGATGTTACATCAGTTCTTTAAACATAACAAGAAGAAATGGCTTCAGCAGTAAGTTTCTGGTACTGAGAAGTGAAAAAACAAGGGTTTACTCAGTAAATCTTACAAAATTAAAGTTTTCACTTAATTGTATGATGCAGCAATTATTGTAGAGCCATCATAGAGCAACTATAGGGAGTGAAGAATTATGTCAAATTATACCTCAGTTAGTTATGAGCATTTATCTTTGAACCTGAAATCCCGCGTTCGATTCTCCAATCCCAAATATCGCTTTTGTATCAAAAAGAAATATAATCGCATGCCTTTATGACTTTGAAGCTAGGAAGGTGCGCGCATTAATGAGGGGACCTAACTCGTCATTTTGAAGTCACAAACTTATGCGTTTTTTTTTTCTTTGACGAGAATCGAATCTAAGACCTCTCACTTGCTAGTGAAGAGGAATACCACAAGGCCATAGTGTTAAGTGGCACATTGCGTTTAGCTTGTAAAAAAAGGCCAACACCCTTTACCATTTCCAAACTCAAAGAGGGGAGGTTTTGGCTTTAAAGCATTGCAACTGTGAGAAAGTGACTTGAGTCTGCATAATTCCAAATGCCATCTTATCTTCATATCACCAAAACATGATACCAACTTACAAATGGGACCATGCATCACCTCATGCTTATATATTTGGAACAAGGATTACTCCAAATTATTATGCTTTCAAGGTACACCTAATCCTGGATTAACTTGCTAATGACAAGTAATCGACTCTTGAATCTTAATCTAGAAAACATGCTAGGATCAGCTGCGCATGTGCACGTACATTGATCTTAGTCATTTGTGTTTGTGGAATCCACAAAGCAAGAACGGCTAGGACTAGTCTATGTGCACGTGCTACTGATCGAAGTCTTGATTACATTTATATATAATACAGTATTGAATTTAATAGCTGAACATAAAATGAAGAATTTCCCCGAATAAACAGATTTGATTAATGTATAGTAGGAGTAATGGTAGTGTTTGGCACCAATGCCATATATGTTATGAGTGTGGGACACACCTATGTGATGATCGACAAGGACCACTTGGTCTATGGGGCCATATCACACATGGGTTAAAAAAAGAAGAAGAAATCTAAATTTGGGTAACTGACTAAGACTATTTAAAATATGCTTTAACCTTATTAAATAACAGCAACTCTAACTTTAGGCTTTACACTTTAGCCTTTGCATCTTAATGAATGCCACTGCACTTTATAGAACAAGGAGTCAAAAATCATGATGTTTTTGGACCCCAAAGTCTCCATTCTGGTAATCCCACTTTTTTTTTATAACTTGAATCAGTCTTCTAACCATATGACTCAGTGGTTGGAGACGAATTCCAGACCCGTATTTCACATGACACGTTTTGAGTTCAATTCCTGATGCTGGTGTATCGCAAGATGGTGGCTTGGAAGGGGCTGAAATAACTCTGTGAGTTTTTTCGACCCCTGAAATTGTGGACTAGTCGTGGCAAAGCTACCAGATGGTCCTTTTTTTGGAAAAAAAAAAAAAAGTCTTCATTAATGAACCTATTTATTTATCCATCACCAACTAAATTGCCAAACTTCAACTTTTTCAATCTCTAAATAAGCAGGACCCTTCTTATCTGTGATCTTACACATTCAGTTAATCAATAATTTTAGGGAGAGAGAGAGGGAGAGAGAGAGAGAGAGAGAGAGAGAGATGAAGGCAAAAGAGATTGGAGTTTTGTCTGTCTTTGTAGACATGAGGGAGTGAGGCAAAGAGAAGAACAAGCATTTTTGTACTTCAGCAGAGCCAGAAATGGTGCTAGAAAACACCATTGCCAAAAGCAAAAAACTCATTCGAAAAACTCTCGGGAACCTCAAGTCCTTCTTCTGTGGAGGGTACAAGAAACTGCCCAAAACCATTTCCTTCAATCCCTTCTATTGTGGGAGAGACCTGAAGTATCAGCACCCAACAGATAACTTGTACGCCGATTTTTATGATGAGTGGGAGTCCACTCTGGGTAATGTGACGAAGATAGATAGCGCGCCAGAAGAACCAACAAAGGAAGAAGACCAATGTAGCCCTAAGAAGATCAAACAAGAAGGGGGATTAATGCAGATGAAGCAGACTGGGAGTTCTCATCTACAAAAAGGAGAAGCTCGGGCATCTTCACAGAACGCAAATGCAGAAAGCTATACTTTAGCAAGAAGGATGAAGGAGTTTGAAATGGTGGATTCAGGTGATGTGGAACAAGTGCTGGATGTAGAAGAGGCGCTTCACTACTACTCCCGCCTCAAAAGTCCGGCCTACCTTGACATTGTGGACAAGTTCTTCTTGGATATGTACGCAGACTTCTCCATTCCACCAGCGCCTATCAGCGTCAACAATTCAAAGCGGAGACTGGGCTCGCAGAGACTTGGCTCGATGAGGTTGTAGACGAATGTGTTAGTGAGTTTTTCGTTGTGCAGATAGATCTGTTGTTCTTTCCCACCTTTTGTTTTCATTTCCACTTTGTGTGTATTCAGTTTTCGTTTTCACTATTTTCAGCCTTAAACACTTCTTTGTACCCAATACTGGTTGTTTGATAATCTCTTATCAATGAATGCGGCTTAGTTAATCGGAATTTTCTTAGTCTGGAAGCACAAACAATGAGCAAACAAGAAAAACAAATCAAGTATATTACAATTGGAACATGTCTTATCATACCGCTTTTGAACAATTGAGCCGGATCTGACCCATTGGTGTTGTCAAGACTTGGAGGTCCGACAGCTTCATCATTGCCATGGCAAAATCACGACGGAACAAGTAGGCATCAAAAGCATATGCTGTAACCCAATTGCAAGTTTCTGCCCTAATCGTCAGCTGCTGATCAGCATAGAGGATTCCTTTGCCTTGCAAAAGATTCCGGTAGTACACGGTGCCAAAAGCTGATCTAGGTCCCTCATATTCCATTGCCATTCCTGCCTCCTCAGATGAGGGTTGCTGCGAGTTTATGTGGAATTGGGATGGTGCTCTCGTTGATGACACAAATCCGTAAAAAGGAGGGTTTTGTGCTGGAGCAGGTACCGAGTGACTGTTGTTGCATCTTGATCTCATGAGGCGAAGGAATTCAACATCCAAAGATGGGTCCGGCTTATGAGTACCACTGAAATTGTAGAGACGGTTTTCGAAGAATTGGCACTGGATCATTCCAATGCTGTGAGCACCTGAAACCAAACAGAGGAAACAAAGTCTTGATATCTTAAGCGGCAGCTGTTAGTTTTGAAATGGAAGAAGAGAAACAACCACGGTATGACAAGAAAAATGCCAATTCCTACAACTGAACTAGATAACAGCGAAGAAATGAGCAAATACAACTAAGGCAGATACATAAAACAGTAAAACCGATCAACGAAATAGTCATAACCGGTACAGAAAAGCGAAAGAAGGATGAATACCGAAGAGGCTGACAGTTTCTCTTTCATCAAATCCCCTTGATGCAAAGGATGCAAGCGTCTGCGGCAGATCATCTTCCGGATAAGGAAGCTCATATGTTGCAAGGTCACGGAAAGAAAGAGTGCTCTTTCCTTCCAGTATGCAAAGGATAGAAGGGGCCACCAGCCTGAAATTCATTAACTCAGTAAACCACATTTAATCCATGTCTGTGTGTATGTGTGCATGAACGCACGTGCATGTTTGAGAGAGAGAGAGAGAGAGAGAGAGAGAGAGTCACCAATGCAACACAATCTCTTGCTGCCAGAACAAGAATATCAGCACAACAAACAACTCCAGGACATACTTTTTCAAGCTCTGACTTGATCGTGTCGATTACATCGAGAATCTTTCTCAGCAAGCATTTCTTCAGTAGAATCCAATAAAACAGAGGCATCACATCCATTCACAAGATACAATCAGACACAAAAATCAAAGGAGAGAGAACAAAGATTCACAGGGATCTCCGAGAACACTAATTAATGTTGGATAATTACGAAAACCCAAATCAGATTTAGCAAGAAGCCGAACACCCATATGAAGATTCAAGAGAAAGAGCAAGAAGACTCACCTGGATGAAGCAGTCATGGAAGACAAGGCGCAGGAGAGCAGGGGCCACATCAGGCCTGGCTTGGAACAGTTTGTCAACCACTTCTCGTACAATTTTCTCGGCTTTTGGACACAATTTGCGGTAGAAATCGTATTGGAGTGCACGAGAAGTGTCTCAGCTATTGATCATCAGCTTCATCTGGTTCTTCGCTGACGAGCAAATAGGCTGAGATGGCAACTGGTCTGAGATACCAGAAGATGAATTTACCAAGGGAGGCCATCTAAAGAAGCTTAAACTTCTACTCTCCGTTTCAGCATTTGCAATCTTGAGAGAGACAAAAACGCAGAACCAGAGTATCAGAAATCGAAACCTCAATTTTCCCAGAAGATCCATATGAAAGAGTTGCAACTTGTAAACGGGGGAGGTTGTTGGTTGCAGGTTGCAATGGCCTGCAGCCTGCAGGGTTTTAAAAAGGAACAAAGTGGCGGGTAAAAATAAGGTGAAATGACGAGAATATCCTCAAGACTTTTTTTGTTAAATTGTTGGCTAAGAATGGCATAATCCCTTGTATGGTTGTCAAGTTAAGCCCCATGAGCATTGTCCCTTGCACCCGAGGTCCCGAGTTCAAATCCCCCTCTCATTATCACTTTGTGAAAGAAAAGGCAAAGCCCGATGAGGTCATTAGAAGCAAAGTCGGATTTCCGTCATCCCATGAATTACAAAACTAAAAGATGCGCAGAAATCTTGTATGTATACCAATCTGCTGAAGAACTCCAACAAGTAAAAAATGTAATGAAATTACAACACAATCCAGAACTTTACAGAAGCATGCCCATCCCATGTGGCATGGGAATGGGAATACCAAATTGCTGTAAAAATGGTATGTTTTAAAAGAAAATTGGACAGTAAATCCAAGGAAAACTCCAAGTCCCCTGAGGCCTGGTACAGTTTATCAAAGATTACATGAAGAATTACCCAATCTATTAACGCTATATTGAACACCATTTTGCGATCATACTTTCTTGCGCAGCGGCACTTGTTCTAACTAGTCTGCAGTTCCGCACAAAATCAGTACCCCGAAGAGGACACTATGACATTGTGTTCCTTTAACCGCTTCTGGAAATGAGCTAACCGATTTTGTAGTTGCAGGATGCCTGCAGCCTTCTGAGATAGAATGGCATTCAAACGAGAAACATAGTTGTCCAGCTGATTCCCGGGTTGATCTGCGTCTACCAACAGATTCATCTCCTGCAAATGCATTACAAAAGTCAAAACATCATACATGCATAATAAGGTCTTCCAAAACATATCTACAAAAGATGGCATTTAAAAACTCTACAAACGTCGTCCAGTTGCAGGCTCTTGCATGAGGCTCTTGCATGCTAAAATATGAACCATGAATTTTATACAATCGCAACACATACCTCTTTAACAATATTCATAGTGTCCTCAACTTGTTTCCGGTGAGCACTTACAAGATCTTCCTCCTCCTGGAAAATGCAACATACGATTTGCCTGTTAACTCTAGTTTATATAGTGGTTAATCCTATCTGTAGAAATTATAGGAAGCTCGTCTCACAAATATTCCAGGTGGTGGCTGTTACACCATGTTATCAAATTATTGCTTATCCCACAAATTTATTTGCCACACCATTTCTAAAACATTTCTGTTAAAAGTCTATGTCGTCAAGTCTCTTGTTGTTACCTGTAGCAGGGCATTCAAATCGTCATCTGAGTTTGAGTTCCTTGAATGAAACTTTGGCAGTTCTGATTTTGTCTGACCATTGGACTTACGTACTTTGTCCTCTGTAGCTGATACATTGTACTGCTCTAGCTTCCCATTTCTCTTCCATGATGTTTTGGCCTCGTAACAAGACTCTTCTGATGCATCAAATTCCTCCGTTTCAATTTGTTCAGTCCATGTATCATTTGTGTCAACTTCATAGGCCGAAGCAGTGGGCAAAGCTGAAGATAGGGGTATATTTGTTGATTCCTTGAAGTTTAGCGTTGAAGGTAACATATCCTTCTTGGGGTTGTTCCCTTTTGAAAGGCTTTTGACCCTAGAATGTGATTTTAATAGCAAGAAACATTAGACGGTGCACAAACGAGCAACATCTATACCAGAAAGTTTACTGGTACGAAAATGCATCTCACCTGTCAGCATATCTTAAAGTATTGAGAGTATGTTCACAGGATCCTGAGCTTGGTGATATGCATGATATCATCACAGTACGGGAGTCACCAACAAATGAGTCCCTAAGAACTTCAGTTAATTTACTTCCTCGGAAAGGAATATGACCCTGGTCATTGTCAAGAGCTCTAATGCATTCCTTCAATGCAAGTAAGCTCTTATTAATCTCAGCACCTTCCATTCTGCATTGTATTTTTTTTTTTTAAACAGCAATGTTAGCTAGAAGTCCACTAATTATCGAGAAAAGAACATCTAAATCTTATGTGTGATTTATTCATAATAATAATAATAAAATTAAAGATGAAAATCTTATACGTGAGTTGAGTTATGGTACTTTTCATGCACTGATGTGACGTGCCAAAAATATAAATATCTACCATCCCAAAATCATAAAAAAAAAAAAAAAAAAAAAGATAAAAAAAGGGGATTACAGATTTCATTTCTAACATATTAAATGGTGATTTCTAGTGCTGTATGCTACTATTTGACGTGCAAAAAGCAATGTCTTGGCTTTCCTCTGGGATAAAATAAATTGAAGACCTAATGAATTATACCTTGTCTGTTTATCATTATCTGTAGTATCTGCACCACGTTCACTTCCAGCAAGATCTATAAAGGACAGCTTGCCGACCAGACGGGGAGGTTTCTTTTCATTGCCATCAACTGACCTCTTAATAGCAAGCTGAAGTATTGCATGTGAACGAGAGGATTCTTCATTTGCACCAGTTGTACCTGTACTTCTTGTGGCACTTCCTCTCTCAATGAGCTCCTTAATGGTCTCCACATCTGACACTCTGTATTCTTGCAAACCCACAATACAAACCTGTTGTTTACCATCCTCTCTCATGCAAAGCTTTCTGTAAAATTTGAATTGTAAGTTTCAAGTTCTAGAAATCATAAACTCTAAAAAGAAATAACTAGAGGAAGGCTAGAATGGCTTACTTTCGATCATTGAGGAGATCAAAAAGTTTTCCCCCATATATTTCGAAGAAGCTCACAAACAACTGAAATCCCTGGCTACGGTATGTATGGTGCATCAACCTCAAGATGTCTCGTGATGCTTTAAGAGGCAATGGTTTCATGGTATATGTTTTTCCACTCCCTTTATGGAAAATTATTACAAGTTAAAATTATAAGCTTACATGTTAAAGTATAAAAAGGTTGTTCAACAAGTCTAACACAAACATAAAATTGAGAGGGCAACTAACCAGTTTGTCCATATGCAAAACAAGTTGCCTTCGTGCGTTGGAAAATTATTGGAACTATGGGCTCCACAGTCTCATGATATACCTAAAAGCACAGGACGAAAATTGGTATGCTAAGTAGCCTAAAACATATCAAGAGCCACAGTATTTATATTATCTTGTTCATTCAAATTTTGTAACTTGGTTTTATAATAGTAATTTAACAGAAATATACACATACTTCATCATTGGAGACTTCCTCGTTCAACACTGCATCAAACACAAATTCATGTTTTTCCATGTATTCTGTTAGGTCAACCTGCAGAACATCAGGAATGAAATCAAAGACATAAAAGCATTGGTACAGGAAGAATGATGAGCGAAGTATCAGGTTCACGAAGTAGAAAGGGAAAATATGAAACATCCTAAAAGATAACAGGTCATTGGTAAATATGGATGTCAAAATGTCCACACCACAACCATCACTAACAGCAAGTATGGCTACTTACAATATTTTTCTAATATCTGTTAGAAGCTTCATGTATCTAAAGGCATAAAGCATCATTCACATTTTCTTGCTCTAGTTTGATCATTATGCTTAGACAATTACCCTTGGCCAGAAAAGCGACAGGTCTTCATTATTTTTCTTTTTGGCCAGAAAACAGATATTTCTCTGGAAATCTCTAATTTTATTTTTTTTTTCTTTTTTTTTATTCTTTTTAGAAGAAACAATAACAATTTACATCTACTGGCATTTCCAGAAAGCAGACATTTCTCTGGAAATCTCTAATGATGCCAACATTCACATCTAGTGGCATTTACCTTGAGCTTAGTCTCATGAACTGTCACGGAGTTTGAAAGTGTATCTATGATATCTTCCTCATTCTTTGCCAACTCCTTTTTATTAAGTGGTCTCTTGCGCACCTGCACATACCATCAGGAACCAAATTTAGAAAAAGACGAAAAAATGTAGCAGGCCTGATGCTACATGAAGTTCAAGCAATTCCTTCCTAACCAAATAAGGCCACTTCACATGTATGAGAATTGTAAATTTGGATTGGCAAATGCCTGGTGGCCTTATGGGCATAGCAACATTTAAGGTCAAAAGTGGAAATCACGAGCACTAATTATGATGTTATGACAGAACATACCACAACTTTGATCTTTGCTACAGAACTAGCTTTCTCTTTGTCTGCGGCAAAACTTTTTAGGAGGTTGTTTTCTGGTACCCGAG